GTGCCAATTCTTTGAACAGATTTTATAGGACGTTATCATTTTGTTGTACTAGTAGTAGTAGTGGCAGGAATCCCTTTACCCGAAACATAACTTCAACAGATGACTGCAAAGAATGTCAAAAGGGGGGGGGGGTAGATGGACATCTACGTTCTTCCAATCTTGCCCAAAAAGAGTAAAAATATGCCATTGAATCCGTTTATTTTCGCTACAAAAACATGGGAAGTTGAAACAGAAGGCTAAATATAGCCCCTCCAAAGCACCATGCTCGCCCGTGTTACATTCCGACAGAAGCAACAACGAGAGGTACAGCAATTTAATCAGCTGCTTGAACAAGTGGGGGAAAGGATGAGGAGGAGGGAAGCGAGGGGGGGGGGCGAGGGGGTGGTCGACAAGACTGTTAGGGAAGACCAAAGGGGTGAAACACGTGTGCATGTCTGAAAGGCTAACACACACACTCGCGTAGCTTAGACGTGTTGTGTTGACTTTGCAGCAGTATGCACTCGCAAGCACATACATACACACACCCGCACACACTTACTTTATAACTAACGTACGTGTTTTGACATCATCTAGTGCGGTGTCTTCGATTAAGGTCGGATCAGACATATGCATATGCATAAACAAGCGGCTAGTAAAGGAGATAGAAGTGCGACCGCAATACCATCGAGCTCCACGCATCCAATGACCAACCGCATTGATTAAAAGTTCTCCGCAAGAGGTCATGAAAATTCGCCTAACCAGCGGTGCTTGTTAACTTTGCTCAATAAGAGGAGAGAGAGAGTGAGAGACAGATAGAATGCAAATTCCTCAGGCGAGGTCATCACCCTATCCAAGTTATGTATATCATAAAACTCCTTCCTTAATGGCATTGAATGAAACAGGAAGCACTGAAACAGCTGACAAATTTAACCTCCCCTCCTACCTGTCAATGCCCCCCCCCACCCCCACCCTCCATTTCCCTTTGGGTTCCATGAATTTCCACATGGCAAAAATTTGGTTCAATTCCAGAAACTGTAATTTATATTAATTAGATGGAATGAGAAGCAGCTTGATTATGGCATTCCAGAATTGGCGAATTCTCAGACAATGAAGGAAAATATCCTAAAATGAGGACACAAGCCAATTAAGTGAACCGGAATTTTTATTGATAGCGTGATAGCTCAGCAAGTAAGCAAACCACAGAGGCAGTGGCCTTGTCTACTAGTTGCTAAAGCACAAAAAGTTCAAATTTCTCATCCTTCTCAGCCTTTGGATATCAATCAAGATGGGAAAAGTGACAAGGTTCACCGAATATCACATCTCTCCGACTACCACGTCACACACAGGTTGAAAGGTTTAGAGGGTTTTATCCAAAATGCACGCATAAATAAATAAATAAAAATATTGAAAAAAAGAAACATCTAAAAGGAGTGATGAAAAGGAGGATAGAAATCTGGCAGTAAAATGACGCCTTTTGAAGTTGGAATACAACACTGAATGAACCATTCTTGATTACCATAGAAAAAAGTAACAAATTCCCCAATGACAATTTAATTTTAAATAAAACTTGCAATTCTCAGGACTACAAGCATCAAGCACCATGCCAATGGACAAGTGAAGGTACGCAAGATAATGAATACTTCATTTTACGCTTTCACCACCTTTTATAGTGTGCGATGGACTCACCTCCACGTGGTGCACCATGGACAACGTATACTCATACGGCAAAAAGCCTATTAGTCGGCAGTTGACTTCTGACTTCAAACTGGCATGATCCCACTGGATGCCATATTCGACTACTTCCACAATACTCACCTCACCCCTTTTCTACCTTTCTACCTTCGTCTTTGAAACACTCTTCTGTTCCCTCCCCACCTCCTCTCGACTTTCTTTCACTTTGATGTTCCTTCCCCTCTGTGAACCCCGAAGTCAACTAAAGGGCTAATGATAACTATCGAAACGCCTGCCATTTGATATAAATAGTGAAAAATATATAACATTTAGTTATGAAATCGCTTACTAGGACCTCAGAACAATCTTGCACATTGCACAATTCTGTTGAGACAACTGGATATCCTCTTAATAAGGCTCTGACATCATTAAATTCGTCTAATCTTAGCTACTCTGCCGTTATTTCGTGAATATTCCGCAACTTTTGCGTGGAAGTACACTACTTCAAAATTTGTGGGGTGTGCGATAGACTTACCTTCACGTGGTGCATCCTGGGCAACGTATACTCATACGGCAAAAAAGTCTATTATTCGGCAGGTGACTTCTGACTTCAAACTCCTATAACCCGATTGTTTGTAACATTCGACCCCTTCAGCAATACTCATCTTACCTTTTCTCTGCTCTTTTGTCTGTCTCTGTCACATCTGTGAATCATTATTCTGTCCCCCCCCCTCTCGACTAATGTTCCTCCTCCTCTCTGTGAAGCCCGAAGTCAGCTAAATGGCTAATGATAACTATCAGAACGCCTGCCATTTGAAGTAAATAAATAAATTTTTGAAATTTCAACAGCCATATCTGAATCCTACTATCCAAAGTAGTGCTTAGGGCTGATTAGCTGGTTGTCCGATTTGTTTGCCTTAACCATCTCGAAATTGCACATTCAAAGCACTCGAGTATCCCAAAAAAAACTCGACGGAGAAGGATTCATTAGGACTCTAGTCATATCGACACCTTTAACTGAAAGCTTCAAATTAAATTACACCCTCACAACAACAACAACAACAACTATTGTCTAATAAATCGTGAATATTTTGCGCTTTGAGTGAATGAGTATAAACATCATCTTTATCTCAAGAGAGAGAAAAAAACACCATCTCTGCGCACCTTAAAATCAAAAAATGTCAATCACCATTTATCTGCACAAACCCTAATACACAAACGACACAATTGCGCAAACAAACCACCGGGTACTCCCCGTAATCGATAATACTCCGAAAAAAACGTGGGCTGTAAAACAAAACAATGTAAAGACAAATTTCTAAAGAACAAAACACTGAGTTTTTTTCTCTCTTAAATATTGGCTGCCAAAATATTGAGACTTTTCAAAGCAGATACTTAACTAGCCAGTTCAACTTGGAGGAGAATATTCAAGGGCGTAAATCAGACATAGTTAATTCCAAGCTTGTTCCATTAAGTGAACTCCCCCAAACAATCAATAACCTCTAGTTGATACGGAGTGTGTGATAGACTTACCTCCACGTGGTGCATCCTGGGCAACGTGTACTCATACGGCAAAAAAGTCTATTAACTGGCAGTTGGCTTCTCACTTCAAACAACCATCACCCCCACTGTATGTCATTTTTCACCCCTTCCACAGTACTCATCTTACCTTTTCTCTGCCTTTGTGTCCGTCTCTTTAACATCTTGGAAACACTTTTCTGTCCCCCCCCCCTCTCGAATGTTCCTCTCCCTCTGTGAAGCCTGAAGTCAACCAATGGGCTAATGATAACCATCAAAACGCCTGGCATTTGATATAATAATAATAAACCTCTAATTGATACCAAATTTCGAGTATTAGCTGTAGAAACACTACGAATGTTATTAAGGATGTTAAAAACAGGTTATCTTAAAAAGCGCGCCTCTTGAATAAAATACCATTTAACATAAACACCAAAAAGTAACAAGAGATCGAGTGTCTATCTTTAACCAATAATCGATAAGAGATGTGCTTCTTTTTCTGAAGGACATTAGTGACCTATTAGTGACCATAAATATTTCCTGTTAAAAGTGAATTATGCGTGCACTTTAACGTCTTCCACAACTAATAATACATCCTAATAAGGAAGATGTGTATTTTCCCAGGACTATTAACGATTAATTCTGATGTGAATTTGAAGAGGAGGTGGGAGGGGGGTGGGGTGGGTGGAGAGTGTAATAAAAACGAATTATAGTTAGAAACATACGCTTGCACTTTACCAATTGCCTTGAACGAATCACCTGGTACGAACCTCTAGCTCCCTTCTTTACCCGCCCCCCCCCACCCCACCTCATTTTCTCAAAAGAAAATTTCATCATGATGAATAGAGGACAGGTGACATGAAGAAATAATGCTTGGGAAAAAAAATAAGTAGAAATAACAGAGGAGGGAGAGAGATCTAGCTCTCCATCACGATGCTCATGACATGATGTTTGTAGGAGATAAACTACTAACTACTTTCATGGTAAATTAAATCAATGTGCTTCAATAAGATAAAGTGGTCCAAGAGTTGGGTATCCATGAGGCAGTGGTGGGGGGGGGGGGGGGGGGGGGGGGGGGGTTGAGAGGGATTGAGTTTCTCAACAGAAAAGCTCTTACATGCTACCTCGTATAATCAAGATAAGGGGGTCCGCGATGGGCTTACCTCCCTGTGGTACACCCTGAGCAACGCATACCCCTTATGGCAAACAAAGTCTATAAACCGGCAGTTGACTTCTCACTTCAATTTACTATGACCCCACTGTATGTCATATTCCACCACTTCACAGTACTCACCTAACCTTTTTCTCTACCTCTGTGTCCGTCTCCCTTTTACATTAGTGAATCACTCTTCTGTTACCCCTCTCGACACTTTGGGACTTTGATGCTCCTTCTCTCCAAAGGTTTATTGATAACTATCGTAAAGCCTGCCATTTGATATAAAATAATCAAGATGAGTAGTAAACAACACTTGCCTAAACAACCATGAGATTTACAAGTAACTAACATTAATAATTACTCTTGTCTATTAGAACCAAAGCTAATCGAGATTAAATGGCCAAACACCAGCAAAAAATACTCTTAAACGCCACAGATATGACCTCTTACTCAGAAAATTAGGCGAAATATCCTGAGACATTAGATAAGGAAGCCTATCCAATAGGGAATCAAAAAATGAGAATGAATTGCTTATTCCAACTCTATTTTCTCCCACTACCCAATACACACACACACACACACACACCCAACACTTTCATTCCTCTACCGGATCAGTTACTGTTCCCCC